CCCAATGGATGAGCTTTGAGTACTTGTATCCTTAATTACAACTTGGTATGAAATCCAATAAAATCGCTCTTGCTTATTGGAATCCCTACGGATTTGTGCTTTATTGAGTGGATGTGGCAGAGAGAGAGGTTTCTGAGAGCTTCCGTACAGACAGCAGGCTGTTTTCCTGAGCTCTGAAGCCCGTTCCAGCTGTTCCGCCTGAGTTTGAAGGATAAACACCTTGACAGGCTGTTCTGCCACGGGCGCTATGACCTTATTATCTGAAATTTGAGTCGCTTGTGCAAGTTTACGGTTGAAACCTGTGACAGTACTGGATTCCTGGAGCACGCGCTGGTAGATTTTTCTTGTCTTGTTTAACATCTTCGCTGGTATGTTGTACTAGTATTTCTGTGTGCAGAAAGTATTTATTTTTTATTATTAGTGCCACAAGTCTTGCGTGTGTAATTTGCTAGGTGTCAGCTGACCAAATTGATCTAGTTGGGTGTTAATTGGCTTAATTAAATGTTTTGGCTCGATGATCAGTCAGAGCCCCGGTGTGTTCGGCTCCTAATTGGAGCAGGAATTGATCTAAATTGATTTGCCATCTAACATTAGTGTAAGTAAGATGTTTGCTTTAATGCATTACAAAAGTTAGCAAACACACATGCAGCAATCAGTTGTTGCCTTTGCCTTTTGTGTCTCCCTGAAGTGAACGCAGGTGTCCTTTTCATCTTTAATGCTTTTGTCATTGGTATTTAAATAAAGTGAAACTTGTAATAAATGCACAATTGGGACGCCGCAGTTTAAAATCTGCCGCATTTACATTTATTAATATACATTTTGCCAGATGCTTTTAATGAATGTGACTTACAGAATCTAATCTAAGCATGGTGATAGAGCCGAGTGATTTGAAGGTTAAGGACTTTATTAAAGTATCGAACAGTGACTCTGTGGCAGGTCTGGGATCTGAACTTGTAACCTTCCAATTATTGGAAATGAGCTGTAGCTGCTGAGCCACCTAATATCCTGCAATTTTAACACATTTTACAGTTCAGCTGCAAATAAAAATGTGAATCCAGCCTCAATCTTCGGTTAAAATGAATGGTCATAGTGGCATTTTGGGGGGGGACTGTGCAATTGATTACGGTGGAATTGGGGGCGGGAATTTTCACTCTCCGTAGTGCAGAAGCTTCTTATTTTCAGCCTTATTCTAGCTAACTATGGCTTAAAACACTGAGGAGATTGGGCAACGTACAGTACAGTGCAAATTATGTAACACAAAGTTTTACTCCTACTAAAACGGACCTTCCTCTTGCATTTAAACCTGAAATTTGTGAGCAAAAAAACAAAACATTAGCCAGACTTCATAAATGTAAGATACCGGGTTCAGAGAGTGGGTGGGCCATCGCAAAGGGGGAAGGGGGGCATAGTTTTTTTTTTTTTAGTGAAGCAAGAACATGACCTACAGATTTGCATATTTGCACATCACCCCCATGATAGAGTTGTGAATGATCGCAGGATATTTCCATCTTACAGCGATATGATTACGTTCTTGGATTATGGATTTGTTTATAGAAAACATCATGACATTGTGTAATATGCAAATATGAAGTCAACTCTACACTTATTATTGTCATTAGACTATAATAGCCGTGAATTGAATTATGCAGCGGGATTGTGCCATTTTGAATGACTTTTCCCTTTTACAGGCTTCAAGTGAAATGAAGCCATGTGACTCAGATGGAAAGTGTGCATTATTCTGCGATTACCTGAGGTCTGATATTTCACTATTTTGAATAAGTGCGCAAATCTGACTTAGTACGGCGACAGTGATTTTTCTACTGTTGCTATAATGACAACACGTACGTATATAAATTTCCAAAAACAATGCTCTAATCTTTAATGTGTGTATGAGGATCAGATTTGTGGAGTTGCCTAGCAGTATTGAGAAAATTACACAGCCGAGGGCTGAGATTTTTTTTTTTTTTTTTTTTTTTTTTATGTCAAGGTCACAAAACAATAGGCAACACTGAGTCATTGAGAGATCAGTCCCTGCCTGTTTCTCAGGAATTTGAGTCCTCAATCTGTCAAAAATCACCAACATTCATATCACTAATGTACCGCAGATATTAGCGATGTTCATCGCTGAACTTTTTGTACACTGGAAAGCAATTTAATTAATTCATTGATTAATAACTTGTTTCAACCTGTTGTTTTTTTTTTCTTTCTCTGAACACTCTTTCACTATTGAGAGGCTTTCCAACAGCTGTAAGAAAATGTCTTAGTGCACAGAAAACCGATCCTCCCTTCCCACACATTCACAGACAGTTAGAGCGGAGCATGCCCAATATTTTTATGGACTCCGTTGACTTGGCTACAACGGCGCATAAATCACCCGCCGTGTCATTAATATACATAGATGTCAATAGGAAACGCATGGGTGAAAGAAATATGGCTGCCCTCAGTAACGCCAGGACTGAAAAATGGAGTGCTCGTGAGAAGAGAGACGATGTGAGGGCAGGTGGACGAGACTCCTGGATCTGCAGTGCCCCCTGGTGTCAGGACACGAGACTGCAGGGAGACTTCAGACAGGGAGGAAGCCTAAAGCAGATCAAATATCAGAGCTGGTGATTCAGATCAGGTAGTGGACGAAATGGCACCAAGAAAATAGCACACATGAGAGCACACTTTTCAGCGCTGATATTTCTGTCTCTTTTTTAGACCAATTATTGTAACCTTAGATTACAAACGCACACACACATATATACTCACACTTAGATGCTAAGCTGTGAAATGTCAGATCAGTAGAGATTATTTGGAGAAATGTTTCATAGGAATCATAAGCAGATATTCCGTGTGTGTGTCCGTGTGTGTGTCCGTGTGTGTGTCCGTGTGTGTGTGTGTGTGTGTATGTGAGGGTTACATAGGCTTTTAGGGTCAGGTCAGGGGCAGCAGGAGCATGAATTGTGCAGTCATGGTTGATGTGATCTCAGCTTGAGAGTATTCAGATCCTCATTCAGCGTTTGGTGTATCTCACACACACACACAAACACACTCTCTCTCTCTCTCTCTCTCTCTCTATCTATCTATCTATATATCACACACTTCACAGTCTAACTCAATATAGCATTCCTAACCATTTTAGCTTTTACAGATTTCAAATCAACTTGTGAGATACAAAAGAAATGGCACCTGGTAGATTTTATTTGTTTGTCTCCCTCACTCTTTCTTTCTCTGTTGCACTCTCTCTCTCTCTCTCTCTCTCTCTCTCTCTCTCTCTCTCTCTCTGACTGCCTATCTCTATCTTCCCCTACCACCACTACTACTACTACTACTACTACTGCTAATAATAATAATAATAATAATAATAATAACGGCAAACATAGCAATAATAAGATAACTAACAGAAGTAATGATGATAAAAATGCTACAGCACTCATGAATGTGTTTAGATGTACAAACTAAGCTGATTATTAGCTTCATTTAATATATTTCTTGTTGGCTGGTTGGAAACAGAGCTTCACAGTTACTGTCCATGACAGGTTGAATTAAAGTAAGTGTTTATTTGGGAGATTTCTATCCTGATGTGTTTTGGGGAAAAAAAAAAAAAAAAACACTCTTTTTTTTTTTTTTTTGATGCTATTAACATGAGCACTTCAAAAAAATCTGATAACATCAGGAAATCAGATAAGCATAAGACAATATCAGTTAATATTTATATTTATATTATTAGCATCCATGAAGAGACACTCAGTGACAATAGTAGTAACAGTACAGCTCTCTCTCTCTCTCTATCTCTCTCTCTGTGTGTGTGTGTATTTGTGTGTGTGTAAACAGCATTAGCGCATCCTGCTCCTACTGATTAGCGCATATCACAGAAATTAATCCCATCTCGCCGTACTCATGTAGGCTCCGTAGGTTATTTACATGACTAGCCATTATGAAAAAGGTTTTCGCGCGTGTTTTTGAAGCGTGTACTTGTGAGCGTCTGCTTCTATGCGTCCTCACGGACAGGAATGTAAATCATTGTTGCATTATGTGACTGTAATCTGTTTAGTAGCTTTTGAGGGATTATCCTAATCCCGTACCTGACTGCGGCCCGATTGATAGCGCTAACCTTGGCCTCTCATGTTATATTTTCCCTTTATTGAATTTGCACATTTTTGAAGCTCAATTTCTCCTGTTTGCTTTTTCACAAGGACTTTGTATAGCCACACTCCTGTTCTTATCTCTGTTAGCAAGCTGCAGAACCTTCTAGACACACGAGATCATATTGTTGTTTTTTTGCTCCTTGTTGTTTGTGGAGGGAAATGGGATACTCTTGAATCTAAGCATTTAGTTGTTCCGTCCCAGACAAGGTTTTTCCATGCACCTCTGTCACGCTGCTTACACGCTTACCCAGCGTCACTGTGATGCCGGTGTATATATAAAGTTTCTTTTGTGCCTGTTTTGCTAGCAGTTTTATTGTGCTTCTCTGTGTTTATCCATCTTCATCTCTGTCTCTCTCTCTCTCTCTTTTTTTTTTGTTAGGTGGAGGCCATCCTGGTGAATATTTTTGGCGGGATTGTGAACTGTGCCATCATCGCTAACGGCATCACTAAGGCCTGCAGAGAGCTGGAGCTCAAGGTGCCCCTGGTTGTCCGGCTGGAAGGTTAGTGTTTGTCTGTGTGTGTGTATGTGTGTGTGTGTGTGTGTGTGTGTGTGATGACAGGTTCTGATTTTGTTGAGTGAAGCATGTTCTTGCTTCAGTTACACAATGTAATACTTTACCTAATGTTAGCTTGGATTTGAGTTTACTAGTTTTGATTACGCAATAAAATGGTTCATTTAACATCAGCTAGGTGGCTAAGCTTGCCATTGAACATTGCTATGGGTTTTACTTAACGTTAGTTTTGTAGCTTGCTAGCACACGTCTTTTAATTTAAATTACATAATAAAATACATTACTTAATGTTGTTTATGTGGCGACTTACTGTCTACAACTTACTAAATTCAGATAAATGCTGCTTAGCCAAACAGGGTTCCTGGAGGACTAGTGGTCAGGCTACAGCGCTCTCACCACTGCGGCCCGGGTTTGATTCCTGGCCAGGGAACCGGCCCTGGCCACTTGGGTTGTGTGCAACAGTGCGCTCTCAATGCCGGTCCCAAGCCTGGATAAAATTGGGGAGGGTTGTGCCAGGAAGGGCCTCTGGCGTTAAAACTGTGCCAGAATCAAATATGCAGGCCAATGATCTGCTGTGGCGACCCCTAACGGGGGCAGCTGAAGGAGGAACAACAGCAACAACAACTGCTTAGCCAAACAAACTAGCTGGCTAATCTTAATGCAGTTCTGCATTTAAATAGATGGGTTTTTTTTAGCTAATCTTGCTAACAGTTATGTGTAATTAAAACCAGTATTTTAAGCACTTTGTCAGGCAGATGATTGTCATATCACCAAGCTTGCGATTAGCAAATTAAATTTAATGAAGCTGGTGGCGTGTTGGTGCAGCAGGTAATGTTGCTGGTCCCTGGTTTAATTCTGAGCTCAGGTTACTGGCTATGTAGAGTTTCACATGTTCTCCCCATGTTCATGTGGGTTTTCTTCATGTTCTCCGGTCTCCTTACACCTCCTAAAACATGCCAGTAGGTGGACTGGCTACTCTAAATTGCCCCTAACTGTGCCTGTGATGGACTGGTGTGCTATCCAGGGTGTATTTCTGCCTCATGCTCACTGTTCCCAAGATACCTGGAACACTGACTAGGGTAAAGTGGTTACTGACAAAGAATAAATCTAATTTGAATTGAGCTCTTCCCATCTTGACCCGCTCAGCACAATCTGGTTGTGCGTATTGGGAACTATGACCATAATTCCATTCACAGGAACAGTTTTCTTAAACAGTGCTAGTTATACCCGGCTAGCAGTCTGTCAGCAGGCAGCCAAGGGGCTAGCCGTCGCTAAACGCTGTGTCCTCACATAATAATGTTTTCATCACTGTGCTCATTATAATTAGCAGAAACTTTTTACAGGGGCTGACTTTGGACTCCCCAACTTTCACCCACACGCAAGAGGTACCACACAAGGGAGCATCATTAGCATGCATTACACATTGTAACAGTCGTTAGCACTGGCAAAAAGAACGAAGGAGATAGCCGCTGATTTGTGACCTCTCACCTGGGTATGCTAATGCTAGGTGCTAGCGAACGCAGAGCACTCCGCCTGCTCCGGCTCATTGTTAGTATAATTGGCACGAAATAGCAGAGTCATGCTGCCTGCTAGCACATTAGCTTGCTGAGAGACCCTCTACCTCTATGGAGAGCAGGAGCTGCAGAAAGATTAGTTCTGACTTTGCTTTCAGCGAGCCTGATAAACTCGATATTTGACATTTAAACATGAGCTGTTAGATATCTTGTTGTGTTGGCATCAACAGGGCTGTATCCGTGTTCCCAGGGTAATATCTTCCCTGAACTCAAAACATTCTTATATTTTCAAATCTAATTTAAAAAAATGATGTGTTCAAATCTACCTTCCACCCAGCTAATTTAACAAATATGGTTTTAGCTATTACTTATTATACATACAGTGTCAGACTATGTAGAGTGGAGGTTAATGTTACATTCATGATATATGGGATTTATACTACATAGAACTTAATGTTGGATTTGGGGAGTAGGGTTTTCTAGAGGGTTTTATTAGGGTACATAGGGCCCTAGGAAGATAGATTCCCAGAAGATTTCAATCTGGGAATACTGGGCCCTGGAAACCTAAGGCACTGGAAATATGTTACTCTAGGAACATGGGCCCTTGGGACCCAGGTGCCAGGAAACCCAGACTCTGGGTCCATAGCACCCTTGGAAATATCGGCCACTGGGAATATGGGACTTTTGGATTCTAGAACTCTGGGAAGATTTGGGCCTGGAAACATTGGACTTTGTGGTCATGGCAATCTGGGAACATAGGACCCTTGGAAACATTGGACGTTGGGAATATGGGACACTGGGATTATATTTCTCTGGGACATGTAGCCCTCTAAACATTGGATCCTGGTAATCTAAGGGCCAAGAAACATTGGGAAAACAAGATTCCAGAAATGTATACTTCTGGAAATATAGGACCCTGGAAACACAGGGTTCTCAAATAAAAAATAAAAAAAAACCCTGGAATCGTTGGACCTGGGAACATGGGATACACCCAGGACACAATGAAAATAGGAACCTTGAGAACATAGGACCCTGGGGAACAAATTACCATTGGGAGCAAGCTTGAAACATAGGGGGCTGGGAACACAGGACCCTAAAAACAAGATGGGCCTGGGATACACAACAGCTGACATAAGGAACATAGGAACCTTGAGAACACAGCAATCTGGGGAACATAGGAACCTTGAAACATAGAAGTCTGGGAACACTGGCGCCTAGAAGCAAGGGCACCTGGCCACATTGGTCTCTGGGACCACTGGACCATTGAGAACATATGACCATTAGGAACATTGAGGCCTGACAACATAGGACCATTGGAAACACAGGGAATTGGAAAATAAAGGGTCAGTGAAAATAGGATTGATCCCACATGAGTTTGTTATCTAGCTTTTGCAATACATATCAGATCAAGGACTCTAGGGGACCTGAGTGTGATTCATATCAGCAGCTGGGTAGTAAACCTCTGTACCTTGAAAGGGCCTCTTAGAGTAGATATGGATAATGCACTGAATCATAAATCAATCAGAAATATGGAAGAACCTGGAGTAGCTACTTTAGTGTGGATTTGTGTTTCCAACTGAGAATTTGATGGTCTATGGTATACAGTCCCTGACAAAAGTCTTGTCGCTTATCTATTTTGTAGAAACACCTGCTATTAACCTGACTTTTAATTAATCATTTGGTGTTAGAAATAGCTCATATGAAAAGCTAAAACCCTCCCAAATGATGTTTAATGCACTGAAATGAATTAGTTTCACTGAAAAAAATATATAATTTATTCAAAACAGAAAGGTCAAA